ATTCACACCCATTGTCACTTAACAAGCTTCTCTGGACTGCCATATGCTGTGATGTAGTTTCTCAGCTTCGCCACCACCTTCCCACCTGATTACCCTCTCATTGGATAAAGATTTACGTAACACGAATGGTCCATACACCTGAGGATATATCTATAACCGTCTCCACACTTTTTCACATCTGTTACATCAGTACTCATCCTCTATACAGCTCGTGTTATCGGAGGGAAATTACCAACTGACTGCAAAAGAGGTTTCCCAATACCCAAAAGAAACCTTCTTCACAATCATTTATTGTTTTTAGGATACTCATATGTCCAACCTTTTCATGTGAAAGCTTACATGCTTTAGCTCTTCATTCTTTAGGTACAACTATACTATAGCAGATACTGCCATCATTACGCTTTTTGCCATAATGCAACAGACCTTGATCTAACTCAAAGTTAGCCAAAACAGTTTTCTTTGGGTTTCCTGGTAAGGGGTCACCTTCTAAGTCATGTATTACTAAGTCATGTATGCATGCCTAAATACCAAAGCAAAACCTTTGTAGTAAACACATATTTCTTTATCAGATTTTCACATCTATGCACATCCAATCTTGTCTTGAGAAGATGAAACCATCAAAATATACATACAGAAAACATGAATAGCAAACAGAACACTCCATAATCTGTAAACTCAAAGCAAATATATCTTTCTTTCTTCTTAAAATTGACAGTTTATCTACTCTGAAATAAAAGTTTGCTCATCTTGGAACTTAAACTAAACTTCATTTTGGACATTTCAATGATTTTCCCTTTTTACTATTTTCATTATTTCATATTTTCAAACTATTACTTTTACATTTACTATCTTAACTTCTTTCTCAGTATAGGACTTTCACTTAAGAGGAACATGATTTAATTTGCATCTCACTCTGCCAAAAGAGTATAATCCTTCAAGCAGTAATTCCAATACTGAGGTTTCAATTTGCTCTATTTAATCAAGCTAATACATATTCACAACTTCGAAAAGTGTAGTACCATGCTGGGCATAGTTCAGATACCTCACCTATGCGCTCTTCCTTCCTCCACCTTTTGTATGAGGGGAAACTTGACCAGATCCTCCTCTGTGCGGTGAGTAGTTCCCAAGAAGACAGCCAGATCACTCCCTGGTCATCTTGCCTCTATTCCTTCCTCACCACTGTCTGGCATGGAACAGAGTTTAGGAGTACTTGGTTTTCTTCTATGCTGCTCGATCTTGAGATGCCCGCTACTACAGATGGTGGCGCCACGTGCACGGTCATGACCGCCTCCAGGTCAGGCATGCTGCAACCTCCTTCCACTGCAGGCCAGGCTCACATTCACCTCTCTTGTACATCTGCAAGAACTTATATACACAGTATTTTGTTGCCACACTAGAGTTACACATTACAATGATACGTCTATTCCTACTCTTCCAGGTTTCCTTCTCAGTCTAGGTTTCCTAACATAATTCTCTTTTTCAGTCTTCAGTTTCACTTTCTGAGTCAAAGTCTACCTTTACACTGTCTGGAATTAAGTATGCATCTGTCCCTAAACATGGCTTGACCTTCATCTGCTGCTCTTTTGATAGTTTTGTCTGATTTGGGATCACAAAGGATATATGCACCTCCCTCTCGTATCACTACTTCCACTACATATGGTCCAAGCCATTTCTAACAAGGTTTACAAGAGGTATACGGATCAAACACTTCTCTCTTTACCTGCATTAAACTACCACACTTCAAATTTTTTTTTGAATTTTCACATTTTTGTTTTGTGAGTGAGTATGTCTTTACTGCTCTGTCCCGCTGTTCTTTCATACTGTCCTCTGCCAATTCCAAACCTTCCTCGTCTGCCAGAAGATCTGGCACCCTAAACTCTATGTACTTTTTAGGATGACCTTTGAAAAATGCCCAATAAGGAGTAGTTCCTGTGGTACTGTGTACCCATTCATTTAAGCTCCTGCCACACCAATTCAAATATTTGGGCCACTGATACGCTAACCTTATTCCTAAAGCACAAAGAATAGGTTTAATTGAGCCACGCACTCTTTCTACCACACCATTGCTCTGAGGATGGTATGGAGTGATGAAGTGCTGAGTAATCCCTGCCTCCTTCCATAAACTTTCCATCTCTCCGTTTTGGAATTCACACCCATTGTCACTAACAAGCTTCTCTGGACTGCCATATGCTGTGATGTAGTTTCTCAGCTTCGCCACCACCTTCCCACCTGATTTCCCTCTCATTGGATAAAGATTTACATAACAGGAATGATGGTCTATACACCTGAGGATATATCTATAACCATCTCGACACTTTTTCATATCTCTTACATCAATACTCATCCTCTATACAGCTCGTGTTATCGGAGGGAAATTACCAACTGACTGTGAAAGAGGTTTCCCAATGCCCAAAGAAACCTTCTTCACAATCATTTATTGTTTGTAGGATACTCATATGTCCAACCCTTTCATGTGAAAGCTTACGTGCTTTAGCTCTTCATTCTTTAGGTACAACTATACTATAGCAGATACTGCCATCATTACGCTTTTTGCCATATTACAACAGACCTTGATCTAACTCAAAGTTAGCCAAAACAGTTTTCTTTGGGTTTCCTGGTAAGGGGTCACCTTCTAAGTCATGTATTACTGCCATCCATTTATCATTCTCCCCTTCTTTACTTTTAAATTCTTCTACACTTAAAATTCCTGTTTTGAATTTTCACATTTTTGTTTTGTGAGTATGTCTTTACTGCTCTGTCCTGCTGTTCTTTCATACTGTCCTCTGCCAATTCCAAACCTTCCTCGTCTGCCAGAAGATCTGGCACCCTAAACTCTATGTACTTTTTAGGATGACCTTTGAAGAATGCCCAATAAGGAGTAGTTCCTCTGGTACTGTGTACCCATTCATTTAAGCTCCTGCCACACCAACTCAAATATTTGGGCCACTGATATGCTAACCCTTTTCCTAAAGCACAAAGAATGGGTTCAATTGAGCCAGCCACTCTTTCTACCACACCATTGCTCTGAGGATGGTATGGAGTGATGAAGTGCTGAGTAATCCCTGCCTCCTTCCATAAACTTTCCATCTCTCCGTTTCGGAATTCACACCCATTGTCACTTAACAAGCTTCTCTGGACTGCCATATGCTGTGATGTAGTTTCTCAGCTTCGCCACCACCTTCCCACCTGATTACCCTCTCATTGGATAAAGATTTACGTAACACGAATGGTCCATACACCTGAGGATATATCTATAACCGTCTCCACACTTTTTCACATCTGTTACATCAGTACTCATCCTCTATACAGCTCGTGTTATCGGAGGGAAATTACCAACTGACTGCAAAAGAGGTTTCCCAATACCCAAAAGAAACCTTCTTCACAATCATTTATTGTTTTTAGGATACTCATATGTCCAACCTTTTCATGTGAAAGCTTACATGCTTTAGCTCTTCATTCTTTAGGTACTATTACTGCATCATTATTAATGCAACAGACCTTGATCTAACTCAAAGTTAGCCAAAACAGTTTTCTTTGGGTTTCCTGGTAAGGGGTCACCTTCTAAGTCATGCATTACTGCCATCCATTTATCATTCTCCCCTTCTTTACTTTTAAATTCTTCTACACTTAAGCCCAAAATATCAGCATTTCCAGTTATTACTTTCACATTATACACTGGTATACACAACATATCTGCAGCAAAATTTTGCTTTCCCTTGATGTATTTCATCTTCGAAGTATGTCCACGCATTTCTAAAATCCATCTGTTCATACGAGCAGACTTGGTCCTTCTGTGAAAAACGAATACAAGAGGCTGGTGCTCAGTATAGACTGTGACACCGTTTCCCCATATATAATGTGCAAAATTACGACAAGCCAACACTAATCCTTAAGCCTCTTTACTTGAAGCTGAATAGTTTACCTCTGCCTGGTTTAGTTTTTTTATCAAATAACCAATTGCACCTAATTCACCATCTGCTTGGACCTGGCTTAGAACTGCTCCAACTGCATAATTGCTGCCATCTGTTGTCATGGTCAGTGGTTTTCATACATCTGCCTTCACAAGAATAGGTGTTGACATCAGTGCTTCTTTTAGTTTGTGAAAAGCAACCTCGCACTGATCGTTCCAAATAAATTTAGCTTCTTTCTTAGTGAGATTTGGGTAATTGTTGAAGACCGCGACACACCCTCGCAGAGACTAAGTCGAAAAAAATGATGTTTTTCTGCATGAAATCCTATGATTTCATCGATTTTTGGCATAGTTTCTTTTGCGAATGAATCGTTCAGGAGATCGAGTACCATTTCTCCATCGACGATCTTGATTTAATAGTCCCGTTAGCAGGGGAGGGCATGAAGTATATCAGCGATATTATGGGGTAAAACAAGCTTAAATAAGAATAACAATCGAAAATGCTTAAAACTAGCACAAAAAGCGCTTAAATTCGGCCAATGAAACTCTACGGATGTAACCGCCATCTTTGAAAGTTTACGGACTGACGTGAAATAAATCAAAAACTCTACGGGAACCCAACCCACATTTCTGTAAAACTCTACGGGAATTCACACGTTCCAACCTCCAAAAACGTATTGACCAATAAACCAACCTATATCAATATAGTAATTTTCTATATTACGTCCGCATGACCGATATCGACGATTTTGGTATCGTTGGATTCCTCTCACTCTCCACATTGCAAATATATAGTTTTTATTGCGCGCTAACCTCCCGTTAGCAACAAACTTGGCCCCGATAGCAGGGGAGGGCATGAAAGGTTCCAGGGAAAATGCGGGGTTACATAGCACTAATAATATAACGCACAGTGAAAATAACCATGGTTATTCACATAACTTTCCAAAATAACCATGGTTATTCACATAACTTTCCATTAAAGGGGGCTGTGCCCCCTGCGACCCCCCCTGGGGGGGGCTGCCGCCCCCCAACCCCCGCCGAGGAAACAAAACCTCCACCACGTATTCACGGCAGGCTACAGCGTTACACAATCATCGTATCATCATCGATGTCGGAGCAGGGGGTGTATTACCTCGTAAGATTCTCACTGAATCAGCATATTAACCTTATTATAGTCAGCATTGTCTATAGAGACGATTGTAGTACAATCAGGATAAACACGGTGGCCCGCCCTCGTCGGCGGGTTTTGCGCCTTTTTTGATGTTACACCAATGGCCTCAAAGTCGAGTTTCCCTTCCTCTGGAATAACGACATTCGTATTCCTAACCGAAATAACCGTCGCGTTCAGAATTCAGTCATAGTCGCCGCAATGGCCGAGTGTGGAGGGTGCTCGTACTCTGAGACGGATTTTCTGCGCGAGATTGCCATTAGCCAAGAAAAAACGCTAGATATGTGCTTCCGCCATGGCCTCCTTCGTCGTGAGAAAGATTGCGGCAGGTGCGGGCAGCCAGCACGCCTAGACCTGAAGAAGAAAAGATTCAGGTGTGATAGGGCCGTGGCGGTCAGGAAGCAGAAGAGGCAGAGGTGTGACTGGTCTGCTTCGATGTTCGTGGGCTCTTTCTTTGCGCAATCTCGCCTTGATGTTGAGACCCTGCTGATCTTCCGGCTCATGCGGCACGAGCTGAGCCTGAGTGCAGCGACCTTCACCGACTGGCCGAGTTTCTGCCGGGAGGTGATGGTTCACTGGGCTCTTGATCGGCAGGGTATGATCGGCGGCCAAGGAAAGATCATCGAGATAGACGAGAGCAAGTTCGGGCGCCGCAAGTACAACGTGGGCTGAGTGATTGACAGGCAGTGGGTCTTCGGCGGTATCTGCAGGGAGACGCGCGATCTCTTCCTCGTCCCGGTGGAGGATCGGACCAGCGACACTCTCCTTGCAGTTATTAAGGAACGGATCGCCCCGGGGTCGATCATCATCTCCGATTGCTGGAAGGCCTACAACTGCCTCTCTGACGAGGGGTTCGAGCACCTGACCGTCAACCACTCGTACCACTTTGTAGATCCGGATACGCAAGCTCATACGAACACAATCGAGCGGCAGTGAAGGGAGGCCAAGAGGAAGGTACCGCTCTGTGGCCGCAGGAAGAAGCACTTCGCAAGGTACCTGGCTCGGTGCATGTTCCTAATGCACTACCAGGACCTGAATGTGAGGTTGCATCACTTCCTGTGTGCTGCAGCGTCGCTGTATCCTCCGGCCTAGGACCTCCTGCCGGACGCACCCTGCCTCCTTCACATTTTGCGGCAAAGGAGCACCCTCCCTAGTAATTAGCAGCATTAATAAATCAGGTTAGTACCTTAAAAATCCTAGGTTATTGTAGGTTATCGGCTCCGCATCTAGTTCGTGTGCGCTCTATCCTGCCGTGAATACGTGGTGGAGGTTTTGTTTCCTCGGCGGGGGTTGGGGGGCGGCAGTCCCCCCAGGGGGGGTCGCAGGGGGCGCAGCCCCTTGCAATGGAAAGTCATGTGAATAACTATGATTATTTTCACTGTGAGGTTAAATTATTAGGGTAATTTTCTATATTACATCCGGGGCTCCGACATCGTCGCCCCCGCAATCGGGACCAAGTTTGTCGCTAACGGGGGGTTAGCGCACAATAAAACCTATCTATTTGCATTGTATAGAGTGAGAGGAATCCAACGATATCAAAATCGTCGTTATCGGTCATGCAGACGTAATATAGAAAATTACCATCAATATAAATTGCCGTGACTAGGCGTACTGCCCGAGGGGAGGGTTGATGGGGGGCAAGCCCCCTAACACCCCCCAGGACACATTCTCTCCACCACGGTATGTACAGCAAGACAGAGCTGCATTCACACCTTAAAATAATAAACCAAATACCTTTATATCCGGAAACGTGAAACTTTCATTTCTTTGTACTGTTGGTATTGCTTCGATTTTAATCACCTTTTTCGTCTTTTGGAGCTCTTGATGGGCTCAGCTATAAAACTGGGATCGTTACTGAAGTCTAATTATTCTTCGATGCCACTGTAAAGGCCTTAAAAAGAACCCAGAATCAACACAACACTGGAAACGCAACATTTCTCACCGGCTTTCAATCTCAAAATGAGCGGTATGGTGAGCTGTCAACCTGTGGCTGGCGCAAGAAAGTGTGAAACACTCGATGCGCAGGATTCAATATGAGGGTATAGATAAATATAAAAATATGCAAATGAAGTATAACATTACTAAAAGACTTTAAAGGTATAAATGCGTACCAGCAGACACAGATAATTAGCCAAATATCATTTTGACAAGCGTGTAATGATACACGGACTAGTTCACGAACGCAAAAATGTGTTCGTGGGTCAGTGTTGTGTTTTTCCTAGCAAGGTAAACAAGCCCATCGACTTTGAATTTGAAAGGCAGCCGTGTGTTATATTTTCGTCATTTAGCGGTGACTATAAGGCAGGTGCATCTTAAACTATACGCTATCCCTTTCTATTTTTCCCGCTCTATAAGATGGCGGTGTCCATTTTCCTCTATCTAAGCGCGTCGCGGTCTTCAACCTCTACTGAGATTTGTTAAGGGTAATGCTACTTTAGCAAAGTTTTCTATGTGACCTCTATAAAAACCTACCATCCCTAAGAATCTTTTAACATCCTTCCCATTTTGGGGATCTTTCATACCATTTATACCTTCCAGGTTCTTTGGGTCAGGCTCACACCCTTGTTTAGATATTACACTACCCAGAAATCTTACTTCTTTTTGACCAAGGTTACATTTTCTTAAGTTTAGCTTTACACCTTTTTCTTGAAGATGCTCAAAAACTCTCCAATATAAGTACCAATACCTCAAATGAGTTTGCAAACACAATCACATCATCTAAGTAGTTTTTGACTCCTCCTTTTTTTATCAAAGGTCCTAAAATTTCTCTCATCTAGCTCTTTTACATCTCTTGGCCGTAATGCCGACATTCTACTTTCACTAGCTTCCGCTAATAGGGCTCTAGATGTGTTGGTCATGTTTAACTCATCTGCAGAGTCCTCCATTTCTTTAGAAAATATTCTTTTAGTCATTTTAGGTAAAGTTCCTGTTTCTTTAGGAGTTGAGGCCACTAACCCCTTTAAGGCATATCCAGATTCTCCGTCTTTCTCTGTATCACTCATTTTGCCAATCTGAGCTAGTAGTCAGATTAGTCATAAACTTCACTATATCTAAAACCTGACAAAATTGATGGTGAAATCAAGCACATACCCTGAAGTCTTTCTACTTTAGTCCCCTTATTTTCAAACACGTAAGTTTCCCATTAACTGTATACTTTAATCTGCAATCAAATTTAAGTCACCTAACTTGACACCACTTCACCTGTACTTTATTGGTATCAATACCTTTATAGCCTAGTTGTTAATATTTACATCTCAAGCCAGAAACACCACTGCACACCATTTATGTCGGAGGTAATTGCTTGACATATAATTACGCTCCATAAATCTGTTAACAGAACCCTTTGAATATACCCTCTAGTAGTATGAATATCCTTACTGAAGGTCCATCAGATTTCCTATAGGCATTCTATCAAGGAATTTACCTTGTTTCCACCTTCGTCGGTAAGCCGCCACCAGTAACCATTTTTATAGTCTAAACTACGGATAATGGTTAACTTAACCTTTTCACTCTTGAAGATAATTTATATGTAAGATAGCTGGCATGCTTTGGGTCAGCAGACACTGGATTTAAGGTCACTTCAGAAGCAATGGCAGGTCCTTCTGGCATTGATCATGTAGTTTCTTTTAAAGATAAGGCTACATAAACCCTCATTATAGATTATCAACAACCAGATTTATTAGGAATAAGCATGGATCAATGAAGCAAAATATTCCTCCCTTGAATAATACTATTAACTTTTACTTTACCCAAATGTTATGTCCTAATTATTTGCCCAACTTTTCCCACACCAATAATTGAAGTTTCACTCTTTCCCTCAATCTCTTTACACACATTTCAAAATAATAAATAACAAATTTAATAAACAAACGTAGTATTGCTATTTCCGTCCGAAACACGTTGCAATGACACTAAGAATTTCTGTCTCATACATCAACATTATCACTTGATTGTTCGGTCTCCCTTCAACCGGTTTTCTCTCCGGCTTGTCTCCCTCCAACCGGTTTTCTCTCCGGCTTGTATACACAAACACTATTTATTCAAAGATAACTTGGGTTACACTTCCCCACTGC